AAACCCACTCAGGTCGACTTTTTTTTTTTTAGTATAAAATTTTATCGGGCCTGCAGACAACTTGCCCCGTCCACCTAAACGAGACAGGACAAGCTGAGTTTTTTAGTCCATCTTTAAAGGTAGGACGAGACCGTCCATTTTGCCGCCTCAGACTCCATGCAATGAACTAGTTGATGAGAAACTTAAATATGTTTTTCTTTATAGGTGCTCTTAAATGTTTGATGTGGAGCAAAGTTCCATAAAGGAACCAGGTATATATTTTAGGCATAGTCTGAGTAAGGAGAAGGTGGAATAATGTGCAGTTTTATATTTAAGCAGAGTAACAATTCATAAGAATATTGAATTCCATATATCTCTTCCGCGATTAAAGGAGTATATATAAGTAAAAAAACATTTCCTAATGATAAAAAACAACCAAAACAATTTTGCCCAATAAATCCTATTACTACGTGTGAGGTAATGTATCTCCAAAAGTGTATAAGGTAAGCTGCCTAGATTATCCATAATAATAATAGTTTAAAAGTTTCACTATGAGAAAATGTAAAAATGATTATTTAAATGGGCCTCCAAGAATTAAAACAACAACCTCTCGTTGCTATAAGATTTATCAGAAAATTATTTGTCTTTTTATGTGATCTCACCTTTTTATAACCATGTATTTTGAGGTGTATATCGTTATAATATTAATTTTTTTTTATTTCTCTTCAAAAACTTGTTGGCTGATGTGGGCAGAGAAAAAAAAAACAATTTTTATATTATAATTATATACTCTTCAAATATATAGTTATAAGGGGTAAAATAATATAAGCTTATATAATTTAAAAGGATACGTACTAATTTGTGGACAAGTGCACAACTCTGTTAAGAGTGCGATTATATTTTATTAACATTTAATTTTAATTCTTTATACTTTTACAATCAAAAAATAATTGACAAATTTTTTCACATTTTACATCTCAAAGGGGACTACTTTCATCTAAATGTATGAGTACATTCCAGATAAAAATATATATTTAAATCTGAATAGGTTATCATATCAGTTTTTTAAACTAATTGAATTATTAATTCAAGATTAAGATATTTTTTTTAGGGTTAAAACTTTCTTATGTTAAAAAAAATGTGAACTCATTCCTGCAAAATCACAATAGCATGGCTCCCATGGAAGTTTAAAAAATGAAAAAGAAAAAAAGTTCACAGCAACGTATTTTTTCTGTGGAGAAACGAAGAGAATTCTTACGTAACATAAGAATTTCAATCCCCTTTTTCTAATAAGGAAACAATATGCATATCATTTTAAATAAAAATTGATTTCACTAGCTGGTGATTTAACTTTGTGAAAATTTTCACTTAACAGTTATTAAAGTCAGCATTTATTATTAGAGAAATATTAGTATCATATTATAAGAGACTAATATCTCATATCATAAAAACAAAATATATGAGATCCACTCATTCATTTATTTTATTTTATTTTATTTTTTTAAAAAATAGACATCACATATTTTGTGTCTATAACACAAGATATCAATCTTCTACAACACATGTTAGTATTTCCCTCTTATTTTTATTAACCCCAACAAGTAAGCATTTATTATTAATTCTGAGCCTACCATTGAGAACACCAGGTCAGATACTTCCGTTAAAATACAGGTAATCATGTTTTTTTTTTGTTTGGGTATTCTAATCATGTATTATTCCGATAGACTGATGAATCTAAACAAGTAGACCTAATTCAAGACAATAAATTCAATTTACATCAAGTATTTGGTTTTAAAAAGACTTATTTTCATAAATAACACTTAAATATATAAAAATATAACAATTTAAGTCAAACCAACCAAAATTTAATTGAAATGATTTAATCTGAATTAGTCAAAAAAAATTGACAAACTCAATTGAAATTTATTAATTGATTTAGACTGTTAATTAATGATTAATTGACAAACCAACAAAGTTTTTTTGACAAAATCAGTTCTAATTAAATGGTTTTGACAAAAACTAAATTTGACAAACTAAATTCAATACAATTTTTTTAAAATTTCATTTTTTTTAAAAAATTTCATTTTTTTTTTGAAAATCAACATATACAAATTCTCAATTCAAATTTAATTAATTGTTTTTTTCTTTATTTATTTCTGAAATCCGTCAAAACCAATTGGTGTAGCTTTACATTAAGATTTTTACGTTCAGTTTGACACACGAGAAATTTTTTTTTTGTCCGAAAATCTCGATTTCTGAAAATATGATTTTTACATTTAATTTATGATAATATCTGAAAATCAAAAATTTTAAAAAATTTAATTTTTCAAAAATTCAAAAAAATGGCATGTACCAAACGCTCACTAAAATAGTTTAAAATTTTCAGAGAAAAAAGTAAAGAAAGAACTCAGAAGTAGCAAGCTAGTCAAACCAAAAAGGAGTTGACTGAGAGCCAGTCAAGGAAAAAAGAAGCGGAGTATGTTGTGATTGGGTCAAAAGATGGTATTATAGAGTTAGAAAGTAAATAGTATTTGCAGATCAGTCATATCATGGTTAGAAAAAAGCAAATACTCTAGGAGATACGCACCAGTTCCCAAAATGAGGTTTTTTTTATCAGAATATGTTTTTTGTTCTGTTTGTTTGTTTCTTTTTTAGCTTATAATGCCCGCAGATGTGGTTGAGACATTATGAGGAGGGAATAGGGACTGGTTGATAATTGATTGTATCCATCATAGAACCCGTGAAGCCCATGCACACTGCACTGCATGAAACTGATGCTGCTCATATATAATAACAATGATCATAATGTGACGTGAAACTATGATAGTTTAATGATGCCCACATATTAAATATTACATAAAACTCATCATACATTAGGGGCCCATAGAGACAAGAAAGTACATGATTATATATTAGTAATTTAGTATCATATGAACAACAGTAGTGTAAAAGGAGACTTTAGTCACATTTTCTTAAGCTCTACTTCCTATGCCCACCGGTTACATTTTTGGTCACGTGCGACCCACTAGTCCACTGTACCAGAAATTTTAAAATAGGTCGATTTATTAATTATAATTAAAAATTAAATGACCACTTGATATAATTAATTAAGTATTATTCCTTAATATATACTATTATTCAAAAGAGATTTTTTAACTTTAGTGTTTAGTTTTTTAAAAAATAAATATCAAAAAAATAAATCTACAAATATTATATTTAATTGAAAATAATAATCAAATATTTGAAAATAAATATAAAAAATAGATCCAATAGATGGCTAAGATTACATATTATTTATGATACTCATATCAAGCAATGCTAAATTACTCTCACCTGACATCTATAATACAATTTTAGTTCATAGATTTCCCCTTAATCTGAAAAATTTATACAAATCACTTTTTAAATTATTATTTGTATTGTACGCCATTCTAAATTAGCCCTCGAAATTTTATCACTAGGTTTGCAAGATTCCCAATTAACTAAGCAAAAAACTTGCACACAAATAAGAGACTCAAGTCACGAGATGTGTCAAGATGGGTCAGCCCTGACCCGTATGAATTATGGACAAATAAATCTCAATAATAAAGGCTAGTATGGGCCAAAAGTCCTATCTAAAATTATAATTATATAAACTATTTTTTTATCATATTCAATACATTAAAAAATATTTTAACAAATAAATATTTAACAATTTCTTAACATATTTTATACAAATTATAATATTTTTAAATAAAATGATATTTGTAAACAAATATTCAAGTGAAAATGTAAACAAAATTTCAATACAAGTGAAAATTTATTTATTACATTTATTGAATTCACTATTAAAGGATGTAATCAAATAAATATTTTCTTCCCAAGAATCATAACAGAATACAACAACTCTAGTAAAAAATTAAAGATAACAATGGAAAAATTATTTTTAATACCAGTATTGAATAACTGCTCTTAGTATATTATATATTTGAAAGTAAAATCATTGATTTTCTTCAACTAATATCGTTACAAAAAACTTTTTAGTTATTAAAGATTACTAGGGTGCATTGTATACAGTATGTTTTAATACGAATTTGGATATATAACATGCTTAGATATCAATAGGAAATTTTATTTTCATTGATGTGCAGATGAAATTCTTGGTTGAAACATATCACTAGTGAAAAATTCATACATATCACTGTTGAAAAATCATTTTTGTTGTACAATATTATGAATGACCTTTCATTTTGTTCATAACATTTGACTCTTTGATTTTCATGATCTTTGATGTATTCTATAAACATCACATTAATTGTGTGTTGTCCAATGAGGAGTGTTGTAAAATGTTAGAATGACCTTTCACATATAATAGAGATGATATTTCACATGTTCATAACACGCGACTCTTTATTTTTCGAGAGATGTTGTAAATATTATAGACAACATTTTATATGGTTCATAGCATGTGATTCTTTATTTTTCATTACTTTTATTCTACAACCATCACACTAATGATGTGTTGAATTGTAATTAATTCTCTAATTATGTATAAAGTCCTATATAAGAACATATCTTAAATGAAAAAAAATATACTTAGTGAATTCAAAATATACTAATATTTTCTGTTCTTATCTTATTCTTCCTTAGATTTTCGTTCAATACTTTAATTTCCTTTATTTCATATTTCACTTTTTCTTATATTATTCATCAAATTCACAACAATTTATACTTATATTATGTTTATAATTTGTTTTATATTTATAAATATTTAAATTTATATAAATTTTAGTTTTTTAAATAATAAAAATTTTAATGAAGGAATTTTTTTTGTCCGCATCCGCTGCCCATGAAATTATAGGGGTTTGAAAAGACCCTAATAAACATAGGGCTTTGGTCATGGCAACGGTGCTTCACAATTTGCAGTAAAGATATATCAGTTGAACAATGTGGTGCCTAATTAACAACAAAGACTACATCTTAAGTATAGCCTTATGATGCGTTTTAAGCCAAAAAAAACAAGCATCAAATTCAAGAGGGACAAAACCGCAGTATGACATCTCTCAACATTAGATGGGTCCAAAATGGTCATGCAAAAGCAGATCATGATTTTCAAGGAACACATGACAACAAATTCACATCCTACACTATCCCAGTAATCACCCTCATAGAAGAGATTGAACAATTGAAAGGGGGATGAGGAAGATGAAAAAGTTAGAAAAATGTTTTGTTCTAATTAATGACACGAATATTGCATGAATCAACAACACTTTCCCTTTTCAATTAAAGCAACAGCAACTGCAAGAAAATAACCCATCTTGTGTCTTCATCGATCAGGACACTGGATCAGCATTATGCCATCCCTTTGTGCATGGAGGAATGCTCATAAACTCATCAAATTCTTGTACATGAACATCACAGCACTTCCACTGCAAAATAATGAGACAGAAGAAAAATAAATGCAGGTCTCAGAACCATATTACGACTGCAAGCAATTAAAAAAATCAGAATAAAGTTGAATACTCAATACCGACCCCTCTTTTCCGGTCATGAAAAACAGCAGGGCCAGGATGGTAGCTGCAAGCAGCATCATGATTATCCTTTTCCTTGAAAGTTTGACCACATCCTTTGTTTTTGCATATTTGGGGCTCATTTATATCAACTATCTTCTTAGGAAGTTTCAGAGCCTGAATATTTGAATTGTTTTCAGCAGAGGCATCTCCATCAAGATTTACGGGTTTGTCTGCAACAATATTTACAGGCTTGCCTTGTGAACCTAAAAAACAGGAGAGGAGGGATGGGAAAAGAAATTTTAGCTCAGGAACCATGATATAGGGATTATTCAAAAACAACTAATAGAAAGACTTAAGAATTAAGACACTGCCAACAGCAGAGACACATGAATACCATGATCTGAGCAAAAGAAACCCTGCCGACACCTAGAACAAGAGTCCTTTGAAGTTGCATTGGATGAAGGAGCTGTAGTTGGAGGGGGCATGGTCTTCTTCTTCACCGGTGCAATTACTTGCTTCTCCGTTGTATGTTTTCCTGTCTTACATCTTGATTATAAATAAAAACTTTGATCAACAGATGCGGAGAATATTAAAATAAAATAAGAAGAATAGACAAGGGTAATTATTTTTTTAATTCTGAGGATATTTGATGCAAGCAAAATAAGCTGTTTCATCACTAACAACATGCAAACCATATTTGGAAAACTCAACCACTGCTGCTCATAGGGCACGTTTGGTGCATAGTGTTGCAATCCCTAGTTTTCAGCATCTAGAATGTTTTATTTTTCCTCCTTAATCTTAGGAGTTTGTTTCGTTATTTGTTATTTAAATTCCTAGGATTAGTTTGTTTCTGATATTTTTCCTGTTTAGTTAAAATAGGATTCAGTTTTCTAGTTTTATCTCTTTCCCTGATTATAGGGATTTGTTGCACTGGAATATTTCTGGTGTCTATTTATTGTACGTTTTTTTTCTTTTAGTTTTAATGGAAAAACTGGTTCCATCATTCAAACTTTCTATATGGTATCAGAGCTTGATTTTTAAGGGACTGATCCACCCATGGCTACCAATGTGCCACTCTTTGGCACCATGAGAGCCTACCAAACTACTTCTTCCAATACCACCGGTACAAATACCACTCCAACAACAACCCCACTCAATGTTTCAGCATCAAACCAAACCAACAACAACTCAGCAGCTGTCATTACCAACGATAGTCCAGCATTAGTCATCACTGGTCATCGATTCAATGGAGACAATTATTTGTTGTGGTCACGCAGCGTTCGTATGTTCATTGGAGGCCGTGGCAAGGGAGATCATCTCACCGGTACGGGTGATGCTGCTCCTCTGGAAACCAGTCATCCACAATACAAGAAGTGGTCCATTGAAAATAACCTTGTGATGTCTTGGTTGCTGAATTCCATGGTGCCTGAAATAGCTGAAACATACATGTTGTGCTCCACAGCCAAGGAAATTTGGGATGGCGTGAAGGAAGCCTTCTCTAAGGAAGATAACACAGCTGCCTTGTTTCACATCAAGGGGATTCTTCGTGATCTCAAACAGGAGGACAAGGATGTCACCAGCTATTATAATTCACTCCTAAAATTCTGGCAACAATTGGATCTTTATGATCAACATGAATGGACTACTCCAGCCGATACTCTTCAGTATAAGAAAATTGTTGAACAAGACCGCACCTACAACCTTCTTTTGGGACTCAATCCAATCTATGATGGAGCTCGCAGCCGCATCATGGCCACTCGCCCTCTGCCATCCTTGCGAGAAGTTTTTTCTGAATTAAAGTGGGAAGAAAGCCGCAAAGTTTTGACCAATAGCATCCCAAAAGTTGATGCACCTTTGGAAGCAGCAGCCTTTGTCTCTAGACCCAACAATGCAGACTCCAGACCTAGGCGAAATGGTAAGCTCTGGTGTGACCATTGCAACAGAACTGGGCATATTCGGGATACATGCTGGAAAATCCATGGCAAACCAGCTGATTGGAAGCCAAGACAAAACAGAGACTTTAATCATGTTGCTGCAGTTGTAGAAGATGTTCCGCAAGCAAAATCCGAAGGCCATACATTTACAAGGGAACAAGTGATAGCCATACAACGCATGCTGCAAGATTGCAATAAGGACAAATCTAATCCCTCATCTGATAGTCATCAATCAGGTACATTCCATACAGCTCTCCAATCCGATCTTGATAAATGTGATTCCTGGATGGTAGATTCTGGGGCTACAGATCATATGACTGGTAATTCCTCTCTTCTTTCTGAATACTTTCCCATTTTCGAGGCAAAATCAGTAAAAACAGCAAATGGAGGCTTAGCCAAGGTTCACGGAATTGGTGTTGTTCACCTATCGTCAACCATATCTTTAACTGGAGTTCTCTACGTTCCATCTCTTACCTGCAATTTAATTTCTATTACCAAATTGACCAAGGATTTAAAGTGCACAGTCAAATTTACCCACGTTGATTGTATTTTTCAGGATTTGGCATCGGGGAGGACGATTGGCAGTGCTAGGGTCTCTAATGGTTTATATCAACTTTACACAGCCGCGGTTATGAAGACTCAAGACAGCACATTTGCAGCAACTAGCAATTTGAATAAGGCTCTTTTATGGCATTTTAGATTAGGGCATCCAAACTTTCAATATATGAAAAAGATGTACCCTTCTTTATTTAATGAGAATTCGAATTTTCCTTCATGTGATATATGTCAACTTGCAAAACAAACTCGGTCTCATTATCCCTTACAAATGCATGTTCCTTCTAAACCATTTGCCATTATCCACAGTGATGTGTGGGGACCTGCAACTGTTAAAAGCCTTACGGGTGCTCGTTGGTTTGTCACATTTATTGATGATCATACTCGAATGACATGGGTGTACCTATTAGCCAATAAATCTGAAGTCACATCCACCTTTAAAGTCTTTCACAAAATGATCCTTGCCCAATTTCAAACCCAAATCCTTACCCTTAGATCTGACAATGCACGTGATTATTTTAACTTGGACCTTTCAGCTTACCTAAAAGACCATGGCATCATCCACCAGAGCTCTTGTGTCAATACCCCACAACAAAACGGTGTATCTGAGAGAAAAAATCGCCATTTACTTGAAGTTGCTCGTAGCCTACTCTTTGCCTCAAATACATCCAAAAATTATTGGGGGGAAGCTATTCTTACAGCCACTTACCTTATCAACCGCATGCCATCTCGGGTATTACACTTCTCCTCACCTTACCAAACACTCCTCACTGCATTCCCTTCATTGACCTTAACCCCAAATCTCCCACCAAAAATTTTTGGTTGCACCGTGTTCATTCATAACTCTCAAGGTGGTAAATTGGATCCTCGGGCTCTTAAGGGCATCTTTCTTGGCTATTCCCCTACTCAGAAAGGGTATAAATGCTTCAGTCCAGCCACACATCGATTCTACATTACTAAAGATGTCACCTTTTTTGAACATCAGCCTTATTTTTCCCAAACCGCCATTCAGGGGGAGATCCCTAATTCCAAGGAATGGTTGTTTGTGACTAATACTCCAGAAAACTCTGCTTCAACAGCCCCTACACCGGTCTTAGGTGAATCTCAGGAAAATGACACTTCATCTAATGGCTTATCCTCTTCCGGCCCGCTCCAGAAACCGCCTGAACAGCAGCCCCTGCAAGTCTACACGCGACGGCCCAAATACAGAACAGCTTCTGAGATGCTTGAACATGTTGACAAACAGATTACCTTGGCTCCTGGTCCAACTGAAGAAACCATTAGTCCTGCACTTGACCAAACTGAATCCTTGCTGCCAAGTTCTGATGATGCTCTGCACATGCCAATTGCACTTCGTAAGGGGGTAAGGACATGTACAAGTCATTCCATCTGTAATTTTATATCCTATGCTAATCTTTCCTCCAGGATGCAGCATCTAGTCAAGAACATTGACAAGGAAACCATTCCTACATCCTACTTTGAGGCATCTAAGACTACTGAATGGTGTTCTGCTATCCAGGATGAATTGCATGCACTCAAAAAAAATGGCACTTGGGAGATAGTTACCTTACCACAAGGAAAATCAGTGGTTGGCTGTAAGTGGATTTTTACCATCAAATATAATGAAGATGGGAGTATTAATCGCCATAAAGCAAGACTTGTGGCCAAAGGATTCACTCAGACACAGGGCATTGATTACCAGGAAACCTTTGCTCCAGTAGCAAAATTTAATTCAATTAAAATTCTTTTGTCCATTGCTGCTTGCCTAGATTGGCCCCTTTGGCAAATGGATGTGAAGAATGCATTCTTAAATGGTGACTTAGAAGAAGAGGTTTACATGGAAATTCCCCAAGGAGTGGAAGATGGTCAAGGATCTCGAAAGGTATGTAGATTATTAAAATCCCTTTATGGTTTGAAGCAATCTCCAAGGGCTTGGTTTGATAAGTTTACTGCAGTTGTCAAAAATCAAGGGTACTCCCAATGTCAAACTGATCATACTATGTTTGTTAAAACTGCACCTCATCAGAAAATTACAATATTAATTGTCTATGTTGATGATATTGTGATTACTGGTAATTGGGAGGATGAGATAAAGCAATTAAAGGAGACGTTAGCTCACAAATTTGAGGTCAAGGACCTTGGAAAATTACGATATTTTCTTGGAATGGAAGTGGCAAGAACTAAGGAAGGAATTTCAGTTTCTCAAAGAAAATATACTCTTGATCTGCTGAATGAAACAGGGATGTTGGGATGTAAACCTTCTGATACACCAATGGAGGCGAACTACAAGATAGGACTCAAACAAGAATGTGCTTCGGTAGACACTGAGAGATATCAAAGACTAGTTGGAAAACTCATTTATTTAGCCCACACTAGGCCTGATATTAGTTTCCCTGTGAGTGTGGTCAGTCAATTTATGAACAGCCCAAATGAAGAGCACTTGGAAGCCGTCTACAGAATCCTACGATACTTAAAGATGACTCCTGGTAAAGGATTGTTCTTCAAGAAAAATTCCAGCCGTGATATTGTGATTTACACGGACGCTGATTGGGCAGGATCCATTATCGATCGAAGATCAACCACAGGCTATTGCTCATATGTGTGGGGAAATTTGGTCACTTGGAGGAGTAAAAAACAGTCTGTGGTAGCCAGAAGCAGTGCTGAAGCCGAATACAGGGCATTGTCCTTAGGCACTTGTGAGGGAATGTGGATTTTAAGAGTCCTAAAGGAGCTACACCTCGAATACAAGGATCCTATGAAGATTTTCTGTGATAACATGGCCACCATTGGAATTGTCAATAATCCAATCCATCATGACCGTACCAAGCATGTTGAACTTGATAGAAATTTCATCAAGGAAAAAATTGATGCAAATATTATTGATCTAAGTCACATTTCCACAGGGTCCCAGATTGCTGATATCTTAACCAAGTCTTTATCAAGAATTAAATTTGAAGGACTAATTTCCAAGCTGGGAATGCTGGACATCTACCACCCAGCTTGAGGGGGAGTGTTGCAATCCCTAGTTTTCAGCATCTAGAATGTTTTATTTTTCCTCCTTAATCTTAGGAGTTTGTTTCGTTATTTGTTATTTAAATTCCTAGGATTAGTTTGTTTCTGATATTTTTCCTGTTTAGTTAAAATAGGATTCAGTTTTCTAGTTTTATCTCTTTCCCTGATTATAGGGATTTGTTGCACTGGAATATTTCTGGTGTCTATTTATTGTACGTTTTTTTTCTTTTAGTTTTAATGGAAAAACTGGTTCCATCATTCAAACTTTCTATACATAGTATTGGATAAGGCCTAATAGTATAAGGCCTGATAGTATAAGACCTGATAGTATAAGACCTGATTAAATTTTAATACTATCCAGCATTTGGAATGGTATTGTATAAGATAATATTCTCCAATATTTTAAAAATTAATATATTAAAAAAATTATTTTAATATATTAATATTAAAATGATATATTAGTTTTTGAAAATTGTACTTGTAAGGAATATTAATACATCAGCCCCTTATCAGGCCTAATCCCACCCCTTAGGCCTGATTAAGTTATACATCATTTTGGTGTATTAAGGGGTTCTGATAAACCTTTAGTTTATCTTGTTTAATGGACTAAAATAATATGAATTATCTAGTTGAACAAGTCAAAAATTAGGGTTTTAAAATGATAATCATGAACATTATCTGACTGTTGGAACTAATTAATATATTTGTTATTTTTAAAGGGATTTGATAACAAATGATTCAAATATGAAGATTTAGATAAAGAGAGATCAAATCAGAAAAGAAGATGAATCAAGGTGAAAACAATAAGATTGAAGATCTTATCAAGTTGTTAGAAGTGGGAGCTTAAGCCCCCATTCACAAGCTTAAGCGCCCAGACAAGTCCAACTTAGGCCCATTCAAGTTTTCTACTGCAATACGAACTCTTGACCTATTTAAAACACCATTGGGGACCAGAAATAGAGAACTTTTACATTGCTAAACAACTCTTGGGTGCTTGGAGGCTGAAGGAACGCGGAGAAACATCAGATTCATGTTCATGAGCGGCGGAGACGGATCAACGTCAAGTGTTCACTGGAGATATTGAAGATCCACCAATCACTTATGGAGTTTGGGGGAGCTTTTCTATTTTCTTTTGTTCTTGATTTTGCTATGTCCGGCTAGTTCTTTAAGTAGTTAGGGTTAAATGGATTTTAGTCAATTTATTATGTTTTGAACAATTCGCTGTGTTAATTTTCCTTTATATCATGAATGAAGTTATCTGTTTTTAATGCTTTATATAGGCTTGAATCTTATATAATGATCATCGGTGAATGCATGACAATAGGAATGTTGGTGTGTGATCCATATCTGATAACTTCATCGTAAACGTTATGATTCTAGGGATAGACATAGGGTTTGCGTAATCTTTAAGATTCTTGAATTTAATGCTTGCATGCTTGGGGAATAACCGGGGAACTAGGGTTCTTCCAATATTGTAAAGGTTTTAGAGTAACAAGGGATTGAGCTCTAATAACATGCGAAAGAATTGATTAGATTGATACTAAGAACAATTAACATTAAGAAGGAATTCAAACGTAATAAGGAGATTAAATGAAATCGAACCCCTAGCTACGTTTTTATTTTATTAGTTAAATCACATCTTTAATTTCTTGTCTTTAATTCTTGCAAGTAATTAGCTTAATATTTAATATTTTAATTTTGCAATTCAAATCCTGTTTCCAAATACACTTTCGATTGTCCAACTAAGTTTGCGATAGTGAATTAGTGCTTGAACCGTAATCCTCGTGGGAACGATCTCTTACTTAATCATATATTACTTGTACGATCGGTGCACTTGCCGTGAGTAGCAACAGGTTCTGCTGTATAAGCTTATACTATACGATGGTCACACCAAACAACTGAAAATGTCATAACGTATACTATAAGCTTATACTATCAAGCCTTATACATCACATCAAACAGGCCCTTAAGAATATAAAATCTAATACTATAGAGGTCCGGCGGAGATAAATTTAGACACAAAAGCAAAATCAACCGCATGAGAAAATCAGATTGTCCTAAGGAGCAGTAGATAATTTCACTTGCAAATGTTATAAGAAAATTTGCACTAGACTTATTGCTAGATGGAATCCTCTTTGAATTTCTATTTCACTAGTCTTGCACTTAGGAAAACATATTTTCCTCAGTCAGCATTTATTGCCACCAAAAGTACCTTCAAAGTAGGAATTGACAAAACTCACAAAGATCGCAGATCTAAAATACAGTTAATTGTTCTTGAAATAGCATAATTCAGCAAAGGTTAGTGGTGACTTACTTCCAAGTATATGTAAATTTGTAAAGGAAATCAACCCATGCATAAGCGGTAAATGAAGTCTATGTTATTTAGCATAAAGCATCAATACTCCCCCATGCAAATTTTGACTACCCATCTGTATGGTCCTTTTGCATTCTCCAAAACAGAAAGTCAACTCTATGAACTATGAATAGATTATACTCAAGAAAAGCGAACTCTTACAAACAGACCAATTGACCACAGACCAAATCTTCATATTCTAAAACAGGAGACTAGAGAAAAGGAACGGAGAAGATGTCTCACCCAGGAATTTCCAAAAACAAAGTAAAATCGTGACTTCTTTTCTTGCAACAACTCCATTCTTTCATCCCATCATGAAATATAGGCTGGAAATTAAAGTGAAAGCTTAATCAATTGTAAAAACTGATAACTAATCGTCATAGAAAAGAAAACATTTGAAGAAATAAATTAATAGGTATGGACTTACTCCCTGAACAAATGAACATGCCCAGCATCAAATCCATGTCCCAAACATGCCAGGTGGAAAGTGAATCAGTAAAATCCCGTCATGATGCCATGTAATAAATCAACAGAATGATATAACAATGGATATAAAGTTTAGCTTTGTTTATGAGTATGCACTAGCGACGATATTAGCAAAAATAATGTTATAAAAGCTCATGAAACCATGATGCATACAAACAAAATTTAAATCAAGAAAGTCCGTTACAGATTTTTCCAAAGTTAAACAGTGTGGACAAAAATACTGGTTTTAGTGAAGTATACATAACATTTAAACAAATAATTCTCTAAATTCAAACTAAAAATCAGGAAAACAATCAATGTAAATAGAATAGTGCCAATAAACAGAATCCTCAAATGGAAACAACTTCTAGTCTAAGTATCTGACAGGGATAACAATCTCAGAACCATTTATAAGATTAAATTAGAAGAGCTTTTTGCAAGGGCTGCTTATTCTTGAATTCAGACAATACAAGCCTAATCCTCTATGACTATAGACAGGGATAACTGCCCTTGCAAATAGGGGTGCTAAACAAACCAGGGGCCTTTGGCTCGGCTCGTGAAGGCCTGAGCTTACATGTCTAAAATTAGTTGTTGGCACCAGGCTTGAACTTGTATAAAAGCTCGTTTAATAAAGAGGCCTCAGGCTCCAATTCAAAAGCTCATTCAAAAGCTCGGCCTTAGAGCCTCTCAGGCTGGCCTAGTATATTATTTTATATTTTTTATATTACTTGTAATAGCTGTCTCTTTCTCCTCAATCCATTTCACCTCATTTTATTGGTTAAATAGAGTTTTTGAATGATTTTGTTCTATATTATGTTGTTTGGATATACATTGAATTTATGAATATTTATGGAATTATTAGTGTTGTTGATTGTATATTCTGTTTGGATAAATTTTGTTGTCTTATTTTTTTTAAACAGGCTAACAGGCTAAACCAGGCCTTTAGTTCTTGTAAATAAGTCAGGCCACAGGCCGATAATTATATTTATAACAAGTAACAGGCTTAGTCAGGCTGACACATTTAAACACAGGCTTAGCCTTTTAAGACCAAAACTCGGCTCGGCTCGGTCGGTAAACACCCCTACTTGCAAAGTTTCAATGAAGCTCTAGTGCATTACTGCACTAGCTACAGAAGATGAAGACAGTTGTCGAAGACCAGAACCAAATAACATCAAGACCCCAAGAGAATAAGCAATAAGCAAAATAGGTGCTCTTTATATAGATATATGAAAATGGAAACTAAACCATATATAAGAAAAAAAGAATCAATTTTACGAATAAATATTAAGAATAAAAAAGAAAATAAAACGATGAAGGGTTGGTTATTGACAAATAGAAATTAGCAAGCAGCTATGGGAAATTTTCTTTCATGGGCAATAGAATCATGCAACCAAATTTTTAAACATCTGTTTCCAAGAGGATGTGTAAAGGGTAGAAAGACAATGGGATTGATTCTCAGCACCTCAAATTAAATAATTGTCGTTACTCAACCTAAATCATCCCCTGGCTCACATACAAGTGAGCAGCTCTTACATTGTTCTATGATCCCATGGATCCTTGACCAAAGTACTAAATGTAATTAGTTGTCTTTAGGGCTCCTAGGCAGTACATGTGTAACCTGAGCTGAACTTCCAAATTATAAGAGCCTCAAAAGCATTAAGCATAGGCAAAGTTTAAACCAAACCAAGATCTTTAATCTACTTAATAACAAGTTATAAGAGTGAAAAGCTGGGAGAACAGGCTACCAAATTTACAGATAGATCAGTTAATTCTTGAATGATCTTGGGAAAGCTTATGCAGTACAATTAAATCAAGGGCTATTGATACCAAGAATACAAAAAAGATAAAAGAAAAGAAATTTTTTTAGTTAGGGCAAGGTATCAACTGAAATTCAAAGATCAGCATTTATAGAGTTGAATGATTGAAGTCAATGGGAAGAATGCATATATGAGTGATAAAGATGGAAACTTGGATATGTGGGTGTGTGAATTGGGGAGAGAGAGAGAGTGTGTACCGAATCATGGTATTGACAGGAACCATCGGGGTTATCGTCCTCGTAGAACATAGCATCGCAGCCAATCCTCTGGCATCGAACTTTAACACTTCCCTTCTCCATTCTCCAAACTCAATTGTGGTTTTATCTGACCCACCTTTCCGGAAGTTTCAGGCGGAATAAAATGGAAAATAGTTGAGGAGTATATCTATCTTAACTATTTTATTTTATTCATCAGACACACCAAAATCAAACGGGTTGGGCTTTGAAGCTGTTTTTTGTGGCGTTTGGTACGTGGGATTTTGAAGGATTCTCGGGAAACTGAATTTTTTTAAATTTTAAATTTTCAGATATTATCGTAAACTGAATGCAAAAATTATATTTTTGAAAATCGAGATTCCCGGACAAATAAAAATTTCTCTTGTACCAAACGCCCTCTAAAGTAAAGTAAAGAGAAAATAAATAAATACAGATTCCTCACAGTTTCCAGGTTCCAGATTGAGACCCATGTATTTCTTACAAGGAGTATTTTGAATTTTTTATCTAGAGAAAATTACACTCCAACAACAGGTTTCAGCTCTGAAATAATTGTTATTATAATGAACTCTGTTAACGATATGGTGGACAATAGTGTAAAAAATTTAAATCAAAGTTATATTGATTTTATTGCAAAATTAATATTTAAATTTATTGACTTTTTTTTTTGAAAAAAATTGCACAAAGTTACATTACAGATTTTTAATTTTAGGAGAATGTTATATTTACAGATTTTTATTTTTACAAACTACACTATCTTCTATCCATAAGACACTCTCGGAGAAAGTCTTACAGGTAAATATAATATAATTTGTAAATTCAATATAACATTTTTTTTAATTTCATGACTGTCTTTCTCTCTCTCTTTTTTTACGATATATCTCTAAACTAATAAAGGAAAGCTTCCTCCAGTGATTTCCGATGACTCTTCCTTTGGTGGCCGGATAACTTGGTATATATATTTCCGATGAGGTGTTACCTAGTTAGTTTGTAGAGCCGATGGAATTGGCTCCTAACCTTAAAGTACATGTTTTTTTTTTTATCCAAAAAAAAAAAATTCTGAGAATATGATTGGAATTTCTTTTCTCGGGAATATTTTCAAAAAATTATTTGGTATAACAAAAATTTTCTGAAAATGTTGAATTATTTTTCTGATGTTATGTTGAGTTGATTGTAAAATATTAACAAAAATATTAAATGAAATTACAAAAATACCCATTTGTTTGCATTAATTGTTTCCCAAGTCAAGGCAATTTTGTCAAACAATTTGCTTTATCATTTTCCAAGGCCTGAGAAAAAATTATACCATGGGTCAAATGGTATTTTTTAGAAAAAGTGTAGTGTTAAAATAAATGATGAAAAAAAAATAGCTGGGAATATTTTGAAAATCTGCAAACTGAACATTAACAATTTTTTTTCCACCCCCAATTTCCGAGAATCCATACAAAATCTGCATGCCAAACTCCCCTCAATTTCCATCTCTATGGCCAACTTTAAGATAAGACAAGTGAGTATCTTTTTGTAACTTATTTATTTTATATCTATTATAATTTTAATCAATTGTTAATGTAAATTTGTTTTAAACTTATTTATTAAATAAATATGATTTTTAATTGATTGTTATGTTAATGATATTTTATAAGAGATAATTGTATTTCCTACATGCATATAAAATTGTGTAAGACATACTTTTCTCTCTTTTTTCTCTTTACATGGTCCCTCATAGGTCTCACACACTTTTATATATATACGAAATAATTTTATTTCAATATTAATTCCGTAAAAAAAACAATTTTTTTTTCTTTTACTTAAAACATATGTTGAAGTCGGTCTCAGTGTTAATTGATATTGTTAGTTGGAGGGAACACAGCCTGGCCCAGACGTCCAGTACTGTAGAGAGGTGAAGATTAAGCTAAAGACTATAATCCCAAGTTAGCCCAGTACTTTTCATTATGACTCTCCTTTATTGTAAAAGTTAAGGCCCATGACTCATGGAACATCTCATTTACTTGCTTTGAGCATTGTATCCAAGGAATTGGGCTCAACTTTTACCAATCCTGTGTTCTTCAAATCGAGTTTCAGATCTATTTTTGTTGAGCATAAGAAAAGAAATAAAAAATAAAATAAGATAACGATACAAGTACTTTTTTAATAAAAAATATATTTTAATCTAGACGAATGTATTTTATTTTTATTTTGAAAACATTATATATATATATATATTTAAATATATATATATATATATAAATTATTTTATTTGTTTTTAATTGGTTGCATGTGTTTTGTTGTTAAACATTTTTTAAATGATAAAGTAAGAAATATGAGTATGATTTTTTATATGAAGTTGATATTTCTATAATAAGTATTAATTTTAGTGAATAAGCGTAATTACCCTCATAATATAATATATTTTCGTAAATATGACTTTGAGATATCATACAATATTTTACAAAAAAAATTTACAACTTAGATAAATGATTTAATAGTAAATTGATTCCGACTCATCACCTCTATATTTTCATGAGAGAAAACACCGGTGAAAAATGTCAACTTCAGTACTAGATCGAGGTTAATCCCATACTCTTTATCTCGTAAGATAAAAATAAAAAAAATAAAAAAATGAACTTGTGCAAATTATCATTTCTTTATCTTAGTTATTTTATTGAGCCATGTGATATAGTTGTATGAATACAAAATAAAAAATTGAAACAATTGAATATCATCCTTTTGGTGAAGGGCCAAATTTGCCTCTGCACGCTGGCCCAATCAATGTACATATTCAATTGTTTTCATCTCAAACGTATATCATACTACTATAATTAATCACTGGAGAGGATAAAATAATTTTTATTTTTCACTTTAATCCTTATTAACAAAAAGTACAGATCTCATGACAAGGTTAGCTGATTAAATTGTAAATTTTAACTTGTATAAGTTGGTGAGACAAAGAATAAATATAACATTTGTAGTAACATATGCAGGCTTTTTGACCCTTATGCCCCTTAATTAATAATTAATTACCAAATTGCCCCTCATTCAAAACTATTTCGAAAATTTACCCTCCCCAACAAACATAACACCAATCTGCCCCTGTTTGACCGTTGACCACGAAGCCTACCCGGGTACACCATTACCTACCCGGGTAAATTTTGAAACTTTTTATCTACCCGAGTATGTAGGGGTGTACCCGGGTAGAGTTCTTGAATCTGGGAAAATGTTTGAATTATTTACCCGGGTACAGAGCAGTGTACCCGGGTAAATCGCGTCCAGAAACCCCAATATGTATGGGTTTCGGCCATTGTTGCGAGGTATAGGGTTTTTGAAACCCCAAAATCTTTCTCTCTTACCCTCTCTAATCCGAAACATCACACATATTTCATCTCATCATTTCAGAAAGCTGAATCTTGGTGGGACATTGAGATTACATCTCCACACTCCCATTTTGTGCTAAAAAATCCGAACCAACCTCCAAACCCAAAACCTAGATCTAATTTTTGTGTGAAAGATGAGTTCAAGTCCAAACATGGTTCCTATAGTTGTTTACTACGTATTGTTTTTGTGTAGTACTTTGTTTTGTAATGACAATCACTTTACGTATTGTTTTGTTTCCTTGTACCCTAAACTTTATCTTGTATTAGTTATGTATTGTGTTGTTGAAATGTATTGTTGAACTGTATTCTTGTGTTGTTGAAATGTATTGTTGAAATGTATCCGTTAAGTTTAGCGAGTCACTCGTTCCGTATTGTGCAATCCGAATGTCTACCATACCCATTTACCCCTTCCCCGAGTCAGTTAAGGTTATTGTATTACACATCAATTACCAAGATGCTAACAAAATGGATTGAACAGCACCTGCTGCTGCATCTGCAACTGGTCTACCCGGGTAACTCGTAATGATATACCCGAGTACATCTTACCCGGGTAGACTATTCGTGGTACCCGGGTAGACCAGTTGCAGATGCTGTTGCAGATGCTGTTTTGGCAATTTTTGTTGCATTTTGGTAATTGTTGTGCAATACCTACATACGGTATGACTTGGGGGTGGATTGATTTCGTAGAAATAGGATGCAGTAATCAAGATGTGCGCCAATCAAAGTTGAAAATGAATAATAAACTACTTTGGGTTGAATTGATTTCCAAATTAATTATGACAATATTAATGCAAGGTCCCATACTAATGCATAGAACCAACAAGTCTGAACGTGCGCAAAACGAAAATTTCATTCATTCAAATTTTGAACATCCAGTACAAAAACATCCATGCAATGTAGGTAAAGTTCCTAAATGTACCAAAATGACTACATTACATCAAACTAAATCAATGATATGAAACCCTATGGACACACTAATCCGATGCCGTGTCCTCCCCATTCTCTTCATCCGATTGTGTGTCATCCCCATTGTCATCATCCTCCTCCTCCTCCTCCTCCTGAGTATGGGCACCCTCGCCAATTAAACCCTCCAAGCGTGAAACCCTTGTGTCCAACCGTGCAACCCTTGTGTCCATCTGGTTTCGCCACTTGCTCGTGCTCTGTCTATATCCTCTAAAGTCAGTAGTCAGATCATATAAGGATGCCATGACATGATCAAGTGTCCATCCACCCTCAGGAGGAGCTGGTGGTCGCCGACTGCGGGTGGGACGTGTCGGTCTGACATCAACCTCAGCAACGCCATCATCATCGTCATCATCATCAAGGCCTACATCATAAACCATGAAAAACAAACTTCAATACCACATTAAAAATTAAACAACACATAATTGCATAAACTCATAAAGACCAACACATCACCTGCAGGTGCATCCTCCATCTCAGCATCGTGGTGGAATGGGATCTCAGGTGGTTCTGGTGCCTTCTTCCACGTCCAGATACCCGCTCTGTTCGGTAGGATCCCACACTGCTTCAGGAGCCTCTCACCAAATATAGCATTCCAGCCTCTGGCGGTCTTCAAGGTCTCTGTTGCCATAGGCACTCCAAATCTATGCAGAATCTTCTGCACCAGAAATGCAAAAGGCAATTCAGCCTTCTTTGACTTGGCTGCCTTCCACATCAGTATGCATATGTAATGCCTCCAGTTCACCTGCTGACTGTGAAAGAGGGCCCACAGGATGACAAAGTCCCCTTCCAGCACCTTTGAGTGATTATGCGGGCGCTGGAAAATAATATGT